ATAGCGATAACGCCATTTAGGGTTATAGCGATAACGCCATTTAGGGTAATAGCGATAACGCCATTTAGGGTTATAGCGATAACGCCATTTAGGGTTATAGCGATAACGCCATTTAGGGTAATAGCGATAACGCCATTTAGGGTTATAGCGATAACGCCATTTAGGGTTATAGCGATAACGCCATTTAGGGTAATAGCGATAACGCCATTTAGGGTAATAGCAATAACGCCATTTAGGGTAATAGCGATAACTTGTGTTTAGTGCATCCTTAAATGACCTTAGCTGTTTATAGGACTTTACACAATGAAATCAAACTGACGTCTTCTCCATAAGAGAGTTTACGGGAATCTGAATTGACCTACTGTAATTATTACAACACTTAGGATCTGAAAGATTTCCCTTCACTTAGATACACCTTTTTACCCGGCGATGTTTCACCAAACAACATTATTCTGGTCGTACGTGACAATGCGGGGATTACAGTTCTATTGGAGTATGTAATACGTATTAAAGCAGATATCGTTTTTCAGGGGATTACATGTACTAGGATAGGAACACATGTGTCTCAAGCGATATAAGAATGTTAGCAACGTCTGTGCCTCTCTATCCTCCACAATCCCCAGGATGAAGGGGATGCTATGGGTGAGTACGTCTTGTATTTCTCTGCATTCATTTCCACAGTATGTATGTAATAACGTTGATGCTTCATCTCTCATTGTAAATGTGTTTTTAGACGTAATTAAGACAGTTGAACACGTATACAGTATAACCTGTCTAAACCGAATGTCATCGGGACCAAACTATTTGTCCGGTTTAAACAGATGTCCGGTTTATACAGGGTCGGCATGTCATTTTGTGAAAAAACAAAAATGTAGGGTTTTACATACGATCTGTATACAAACGACAGAGAAATGAATCAATTGCAAAGTTTAATTATTTACAAAATATAAAATATGTAACACAAATGAAAGGCGACCCAACATTGGATAGCGCTAATTTGTTTAGAATGTGTTTGCTTTAGATTGTAGCCGGCCGAGAGAAATATCAGGACCGGAATGAACATGTTTTTTATACATGGATTTCTATGCCAACTTTTGTGAAACAACGCCGGTTTTCGGAATGGACAGTGTCGGGTTTATACAGGGTTTAATTACCATACTTATAAAGGGAATATGCAGAGACCATAAATCACAGCCGGTTTAGACAGGGATCCGGATTAGACAGGGGATTGTTTAGACAGGTTATACTCTGTATGTGTAAATATTTTCAGGTAATCAGATGGCGTGGGTATACAATTCGTATTGGAATCACTAACATACAACTCGTATTGCAATCACTGACATACAATTCGTATTGGAATCACTAACATACAACTCGTATTGGAATCACTAACATACAAATCGTATTGGAATCACTGACATACAATTCGTATTGAAACCACTGACATACAACTCGTATTGGAATCACTGGCATACAAATCGTATTGAAATCACTGACATACAATTCGTATTGGAATCACTGACATACAATTCGTATTGAAACCACTGACATACACTTCGTATTGGAACCACTGACATACAACTCGTATTGGAATCACTGGCATACAACTCGTATTGGAATCACTGGCATACAATTCGTATTGGAATCACTGACATACAATTCGTATTGAAATCACTGACATAAAATTCGTATTGAAACCACTGACATACAATTCGTATTGAAATCACTGACATACAATTCGTATTGAAATCCCTAACATACACATCGTATTGTAATCACTTACATACAATTCGTGTTGAAATCACTAACATACAAATCGTATTGGAATCACTGACATGCAACTCGTATTGGAATCACTGACATACAACTCGTATTGGAACCACTGACATACAACTCGTATTGGAACCACTGGCATACCAATCGTATTGTAATCACTGACATACAATTCGTGTTGAAATCACTAACATACAACTCGTATTGGAATCACTGACATACAACTCGTATTGGAACCTCTGACATACAATTCGTGTTGGAATCACTGACATACAACTCGTTTTGGAATCACTGACATACAAATCGTATTGGAATCACGGGCAGGAAATTAGTATTCTATACAGTTAAGATACATATGGAAATAATTCTGAACACCGGTATAACTATGTTTTCTGTATTAATCATTTAGTCAGTCCTGTAATGTCAATAGTCAATCAAAATAAAATAACAAAATTAATTGAAATATACAGATACGATTGGGTTGGTTGGTTATTTAGTCATGTTATAGTTTATGTCACGTATGTGTATATGCTTGATGAAGTGTATTGGCCTGATGTCGACATTACAGTGGCCTTGGGATAGCATGGGTTGGATGTCTACATTACAGTGGCCTTGGGATAGCATGGGTCTGATGTCGACATTACAGTGGCCTTGGGATAGCACGGGTCTGATGTCGACATTACTGTGGCCTTGGGATAGCACGGGTCTGATGTCGACATTACTGTGGCCTTGGGATAGCACGGGTCTGATGTCGACATCACAGTGGCATTAGGATAGCACGGGTCTGATGTCTACATTACAGTTGCCTTGGGATAGCACTGGTCTTATGTCTACATTACAGTGGCCTTGGGATAGCACTAGTCTGATGTCTACATTACAGTGGCTTTGGGATAGCATGTGTCTGATGTCGACGTAACAGTGGCCTTGGGATAGCACGGGTCTGATGTCTACATTACAGTGGCCTTGGGATAGCATGGGTCTGATGTCTACATTACAGTGGCCTGTGGATAACACGGGTCTGATGTCTACATTACAGTGGCCTTGGGATAGCACGGGTCTGATGTCTACATTACAGTGGCCTTGGGATAGCACGGGTCTGATGTCGACATTACAGTGGCATGTGGATAGCACGGGTCTGATGTCTACATTACAGTGACCTTGGGATATCACGGGTCTGATGTCTACATTACAGTGACCTTGGGATAGCACGGGTCTGATGTCTACATTACAGTGGCCTTGGGATAGCACGGGGCTGATGTCTACATTACAGTGGCCTTGGGATAGCGCGGGTCTGATGTCGACATTACAGTGGCATGTGGATAGCACGGGGCTGATGTCTACATTACAGTGGCCTTGGGATAGCATGGGTCTGATGTCGACATTACAGTGACCTTGGGATAGCACGGGTCTGATGTCGACATTACTGTGGCCTTGGGATAGCACGGGTCTGATGTCGAAGTAACAGTGGCCTTGGGATAGCACGGGTCTGATGTCGAAGTAACAGTGGCCTTGGGATAGCACGGGTCTGATGTCGACATTACAGTGGCATGTGGATAGCACGGGTCTGATGTCTACATTACAGTGCCCTTGGGATATCACGGGTCTGATGTCTACATTACAGTGGCCTTGGGAAAGCACGGGTCTGATGTCTACATTACAGTGGCCTTTGGATAGCACGGGGCTGATGTCTACATTACAGTGGCCTTGGGATAGCGCGGGTCTGATGTCGACATTACAGTGGCATGTGGATAGCACGGGGCTGATGTCTACATTACAGTGGCCTTGGGATAGCACGGGTGTGATGTCGACATTACAGTGGCCTTGAGATAGCACGGGTCTGATGTCGACATTACAGTGGCATGTGGATAGCACGGGGCTGATGTCTACATTACAGTGGCCTTGGGATAGCACTAGTCTGATGTCTACATTACAGTGGCCTTGGGATAGCATGGGTCTGATGTCGACGTAACAGTGGCCTTGGGATAGCACTGGTCTGATGTCTACAATACAGTGGCCTTAGGATAGCACGGGTCTGATGTCTACATTACAGTGACCTTGGGATAGCACGGGTCTGATGTCGACATTACAGTGGCCATGGGATAGCACGGGTCTGATGTCTACATTACAGTGCCCTTGGGATATCACGGGTCTGATGTCTACATTACAGTGGCCTTGGGATAGCACTAGTCTGATGTCTACATTACAGTGGCCTTGGGATAGCACGGGTCTACATTACAGTGGCCTTGGGATAGCACGGGTCTTATGTCTACATTACAGTGGCCTTGGGATAGCACGGGTGTGATGTCGACATTACAGTGGCCTTTAGATAGCACGGGTCTGATGTCGACATTACAGTGGCCTTGGGATAGCCCGGGTCTGATGTCTACATTACAGTGGCCTGGTGATAGCACGGGTCTGATGTCTACATTACAGTGGCCTTGGGAAAGCACGGGTCTGATGTCTACATTACAGTGGCCTTAGGATAGCACGGGTCTGATGTCTACATTACAGTGCCCTTGGGATATCACGGGTCTGATGTCTACATTACAGTGACCTTGGGATAGCACGGGTCTGATGTCTACACTACAGTGGCCTTGGGATAACACGGGTCTGATGTCTACATTTCAGTGGCCTTGGGATAGCACTGGTCTGATGTCGACATTACAGTGACCTTGGGATAGCACGGGTCTGATGTCTACACTACAGTGGCCTTGGGATAACACGGGTCTGATGTCTACATTTCAGTGGCCTTGGGATAGCACTGGTCTGATGTCGACATTACAGTGACCTTGGGATAGCACGGGTCTGATGTCTACACTACAGTGGCCTTGGGATAACACGGGTCTGATGTCTACATTACAGTGGCCTTGGGATAGCACGGGTGTGATGTCGACATTACAGTGGCCTTTAGATAGCACGGGTCTGATGTCGACATTACAGTGGCCTTGGGATAGCACGGGTCTACATTACAGTGGCCTTGGGATAGCACGGGTCTACATTACAGTGGCCTTGGGATAGCACGGGTCTGATGGCTACATTACAGTGGCCTTGGGATATCACGGGTCTGATGTCTACATTACAGTGGCCTTGGGATATCACGGGTCTGATGTCTACATTACAGTGGCCTTGGGATAGCACGGGTGTGATGTCGACATTACAGTGGCCTTGAGATAGCACGGGTCTGATGTCGACATTACAGTGGCCTTGGGATAGCACGGGTCTAATGTCTACATTACAGTGGCCTGGTGATAGCATGGGTCTGATGTCTACATTACACTGGCCTGTGGATAACACGGGTCTGATGTCTACATTACAGTGGCCTGGTGATAGCATGGGTCTGATGTCTACATTACAGTTGCCTTGGGATAGCACGGGTCTGATGTCGACATAACAGTGGCATGTGGATAGCACGGGTCTGATGTCTACACTACAGTGACCTTGGGATAGCACGGGTCTGATGTGTACATTACAGTGACCTTGGGATAGCACGGGTCTGATGTCTACATTACAGTGGCCTTGGGATAACACGGGTCTGATGTCTACATTACAGTGGCCTTGGGATAGCACGGGTCTGATGTC